ACCCTTACACGTTTAACTTCAAAAGTTTCGCACTTTGATGATAATACTTTTATTTGTAGTGTAAAACTCAACAATGGTCAAAAACAATGTATACTATTATTAGATGAAGTTTATGTTAAACCTATGCTAACTTATCATGGAGGACAGTTGTTTGGTAAAGCAGTAAATGATGAATCAAATCTTGCAAAAACTGTATTGGCTTTCATGGTTGTATGTTTTTATGGAGGACCAAAATTTTTAGTTAAAATGTTACCAGTAAATAATTTAGATGCAGATTTTTTATATGATCATCTATTATCATATCAACCAAATTTTTATATGATCATCTATTATCTTATCAACCAAATTACGAAGGCAAATGGAAAAGTTATTGCTTTAATTAATGATAATAATAGAGTAAATCAAGCATTTTTCAAACGATTTGATTGCATATTTCCATGGTTAACAACTGATGGCATTTTTTTACTCTTTGATTTTGTGCATTTAATAAAGTGTATACGAAACAATTGGATAACTGAAAAGTCTGGTGAAATTGAGTTTAGTTATAGAGGAAAAAAATATAATGCTAAATGGGATCACATCAAAAAGCTTCAAAAGTTAGAAGAAGGTGAATTGGTTAAAATGTCTAAGTTGACTTATGTTGCTGTTAACCCAAGGCCAATTGAGAGACAAAAAGTTGATACATGTTTAAAAGTTTTTTGTGAAGAGACTATAAATGCATTAAAGTGTCATCAAGGTATGAAAGATGATGATATTGATGGAACTATTATTTTTTTAACTAAGGTGGTTCAATTTTGGAAAATAGTCAACGTTAAAAGTCCATCCGAAGAAATCCATTTGAAAGACAACTTACGAGCTCCCATATCATATGTTGATGATTTACGATTAAATGATTTAATTGAGTTTTCTGAAATGTTAAAGCCAACATTGATTCAAGGAAAAAGAATTAGAAGTATAACCATGGATACAAGCAATGCATTATATCAAACTTGTAATGGTTTAGTTGAACTAAGTAAGCATCTGTTAGACAATTCTCAAATGTATGTACTGCTTGGGAATTTTACAACAGACCCCATAGAAAGAGCATTTGGAAAACTCAGACAAGGTAGTGGGGGAACTTATTTTATAAATACTCAACAAGTAATTGAAAAGTGGAATATCAACAAAACCAAACTATTTCTTCAGAAAACTATCAACATTTTAAGTGCTGAGTTTACATCTGGTCATATTTGTGATAATTGTTTTAATAAACTTTCAGAAGATGAGTGTGAGATGTTTAATCATTTACATGAACTTTTAGACCAACTTTCATCGAATATTAAGTCATCTTTAGTTTACATTGCAGGTTATATTTCTAGAAAAGACAATGAAGATGATAACGATGACACTTATCTGTATTATAGTAATTATGGAAATTTTACATCTGCCTTAGATCGTGGTGGTCTGAAAATACCCAGTGATACATTTTGTGAATGGGTATTCTTAAGTTACATTTTGTTTTATTTTGTTGGCACATCAAACTTTTGTAGATATTCTATGTCCTGCTTATTCATGGATATTGCATGTATTTATGGTTTCACCATAATTACAAGAAACCATTGTTATATTCTTACAAATATATTATTTAACAATTTTTGCTATATGCATTCACCTGCATCAGACAAGGAAACCAAAGTTAAAGCTTTAAAACTGTTTTGTTAGCTTTTGTGAATAAATATACCATAAAAAGTTTCCAATTTAACTTTAGATGATATTTCGTTTAAAAATTGTTAATTTATATTTTTACTTTTTAATTCTTTCTGTTAATATTTTTGAACTTACAAGGTGTTGTTTTTTTTTTTACTTTCTTGACAAAATAACAATTATTTTTGTTTTATAAACGTTTTTGTAATAAAAATATCGACTTCTTTATAAAATGATAAAATATTATTTAGTAAAAAATGGCATGGTTTAAGCCTTACATTCTTCTTATCCTTAGTTTTTTATTTAATCAGGTTATGCATTTAGAGAAATAGACTAAAATAATCAAATCACAAGCTCCTACTATATTGTTAAAAGAATTTTTAAATATTTAAAACTTAAAAAAAAAATTGTTTAATATTTGAGAGCATCATAACCAAATCAGCCTCCACATTTTTCAAGCCGTTGCGCGATGAGAAGGCCTGTTATTTAAGTACGCCTTGGATCACCCCTATTCAGTACGTGTGATTTTTATAATAAAACGAATCGCGAGATAAACAATTTAATTACAAAAAAACCATTAAGTTGTGCTTTCGTTCTTTTGTAGAGAAAAAAAGAACTTCTAAAATTTTTTTTGTAATTTATGACATAAAATTCTTTATTTTTTAACAGAAAAAGTAAAGATAATTTGGTTATTTTGCGCCTATTAAATCCTTGCGCCCAGGGCAACTTTCCCTTTGGCCCCCACCTCGTTACGCCACTGTGCCCCTGCTCCTAAAACAATATTAGTCAACTTAACAATCTTTTTTATCCTTTTCTTTTTTGTTGTTTTTCTTATAAACATTAACAAAATTTTTTATAATACTTACACCTAATTTGATGCTTTTAACTCTGATAATTTTTTTCCTTGAAAAAAAACATCCCAGTTAATAACTGAGTTATTAAAATTATTTATATAATTAATTTCTAAGGCTTCCAATTTGCGACAACTTTTTGTCAAGTGGTTTTTCTAGTTGTTCCTTTTGAAAACAAAATTAAACATCAAAAAAATTTTAAACAAACTAAAAAATAGCTTTGGAAAGTTAGTTTCTCATTTTCATATCTCAATTTTGAACTTTCTCCTTGGATCAATCCTTTAAACTTTCTCCTTGAACCAATCGTGATTTTTTAATTTCTCAATTTTTTCTTTCTTTCAGTTTTTCAATATTTTGCCCCTTGTTTAATGCCATATGTAACTTTGTAAAGTAATTTTTTCCCAAATATGTTTTTCAAAAATAACTTTGAAAGTGTTTATTCAAAGGCCTAAAAGACTTTACTCTTGTAACACTATGGATAAATGTTATGCCAAACATTAGGTGCTCTTTTTATTAGTAAATGAAGGTTCTCAAGTGTCCTTTCTTCCCATATTTTGTGATGTGGGGAACTTGCAGCCTGTTGTTTCATTTCTTTAGCTAGATTTAGTAGAGATCCAATAAAATAATAAGAATAATTTGGCAGCAAATTACAATTAAAAATGACATGGCCAAAATAGTTGCTATAAAAAAAAGTTTTTCTATTAAGACACTTTTAGTAATTTATTGTGATTTTAAAGTTTTATATCCCAATAATAGACAATCAAATACATCAGTTGAAGTTGTAATATAAAGGTTTAATTTGACATCAACACATTTCATGAATTGATGTTTTTTTGAAAATGTCAACCTTTAAAGAACTCAAAAACTGTTGTTTTAATTACAAGAATAATCTTGAATAATATAAAGTATGGTGAAGTGGCTAGTGTCACTTCATCATCATTGTGAGGTAAAAATTGTTTCAAGGTAGAATACAAGAATGGTATTTCTATGTAGTGCTTCTGATAATAATAAAACCTTTTTTTTCATAAATTAAGCTGACAACAATATATGATTTTTTTAGTCATTTAAAATAGATATTCTAAGTGGCGTTTATTTTTTTTAAGACTTCTCCAAGTATTTTATCAACAAATTCTTGTATTCTTAAACCATACCAACCAACCAAATGAAAAATTTTTTAAATGATTTTTCAATAAAAATCATATAAAAAATAATGTATTTTTAATGTCTAAAAAGTTACTTGGTAATCATGTTAATTAATAACAACAATTTTTTACCTTAAAAATGCTGTATAAAATATTTCTCCTTGAAATTCAGAGCCAAATGTGGTACTTGAACTTGTATATTAAAACTTTTTTTAAAACCTTATTACCTTTTATCACTCTTTGCACTTGATAGAATCAGGCGATGTCAATGCAGCTTAAGCACATGTTTTTAAAGAATAATGATAACTTTAATATTTTTTGAATGGTTATGAGAAATGTTGGTCATCTTTTAAATGTTTATCAGAAGTGTTGGTTATTTGTTGGTCTGAAATTCTGTAATGTTGCATAAGTGAAGATTCAGTTATTTCTTTTTTTTATTTTTTTAGAATCAATATGCAACATAAAATGATTCTAAAGTATACTGGAGATATTTACTGGCCATTTGGAATCTCTGCAACATTGACTTTTAAAATTAGCTGAATTGAGTTTTTGATTATATCACCTTTTTGGGGGTTTAACAAAATAAAGCATTTTATTTTAAGCAATAAAGTCTTTCTTTATTTTAAAATTCTATTAATATCTCCTAGTTTTAGTCATAGAAAATTTAGAAATTTTTTTGATGGATAAATTTCCTTTTTTTTCTAAATAAGCATGCTAACTTGAGTTGATTACTTTTTGTAGCTGATTTTTTTTTCTGATTTCTTGTTAAAATAGTCATGAGTCTTGTCTTTATTTTTAATAGGAAAAAAAATTAAGGACAGTATATCGATGTATCTTTAGTTGAGATTGTATCCTAAATAGTAGATTGTAGTGGCTCATAAAATTTAAAGTCTCATGTAAAAGACCTCTCTAATTTTGGCCAATATGCATTTACTTTTTTTTTCAAAATATATACTTGTTTGTTTAAATGAACAATTGAAGTTCCAAGTTGGTAATTTCAAGATGGTGGGTAATTTAAAGAGGAGCACATCAGAGCATCCATATTTGCTTGTATAATGGTAATCTTTAAAGACTCTAAGGAAAATATTTTCTCTATTTATTTAAAAAAGAAATCTAAAAAAATGTATAAAATAATTATATTTTATTTATCTAACAATCTAAAATTGCAGTAAAAACAATTTTTGACAATTTTTGATTGAATTACACTATTTGATTTCTAAAGGCATTTAGGTATCAACCAGGTTTCAGAATCTATACTACTCCATAAAAGTTATGTTTAAATTATTATTTTCTTAGATATATATTAGGATTCTTTTTTATGTAGGTAACATAGATGATACTGGATACCATCAAAGTCATCCAGATTTATTAAGTGATAAGACACAGTATGCAAATTATTTACATGTACACGATGAATTACAGCAAAATGCAAGTGGTAAATCATCAATTGCTAATGCAAGTGGTAAATGGTCTTATCTTTAGAGTTCATTTTTCAAAGCATGTTTTATTGGACTCATGCATGTCATTTTATCACATTTTAGTTTATGCTAGCCTTTCTTTTTTTTTTTTAATTTTTCCAATAAGCAATTTAGTCTCTTTAGTAGACATATTTACCATGATACCTCTAAAAAGAACAGTGCCTTATAGTACATGTATAAAATCTTCTGTTGATAGATTAAATAAATTTATTCACTACACAAAGGAGCATGATCAGTTTGATTTTGCAAAATCTCTATAAAAACGATTTAACACAAATTAAAAGAAAATTGTTTTATAGATGTCCTTCATTTTTAATTTACAAGTCTATCTATCATATATTATTTGAGACTAAAAACTCTGCTGAAGAATTTATTATAAAAATATATGTTAAATTATTAAACAAAATATTTTAATTTTTATATTAAATGCAAAAAAATTACTTTTTAATAGTATACTATAACAAAACTTTTATTGGTTTAATATTATTATTAGATGGTATCGAAGAAGAAAGTAATTTTCAAAGTTCTCCAGATATAACACTATCTGAAAGTACAAAACATATTAACTACCTACCCATTCATGAAGAGTCACACAGCTACTTAGCACCTGTTCATACACATGTGAATCATGACAATGGTATGAATATGTTTTATTTTTTAAAGTTTAATTTTACCTAATTTGGAAATATAGTAAATTTTAAACATAATTAAGAAATAAAAAATATATATATAATAAAGAAGTTAATAAATATTTGTAAATTATTATTGTTATATCGTTATTGAATAAATATATACTATATATTAAAGATATAATATTTAATAAGAATAGTTATGTTTTATATATTAACATTAATTGAAATATTTATAACATTAATTTATACTAGAAAATGCTCATCATATGATATCACCAAATTATGAAGAATCTGACTTGCCTATTCAAACTTATGAGCACCACCATGCCGGTTTGTGATAAATTTATCTTTTATTACAAAATAAAGTAAAAGTATTTTCTTTGGTTATTCAAACAAACATAAATTATTTGGTATAGTTATTTTATTGAATTACTTTTTAATGTTTATTTTAAATATATAATAGGGTCTGTCCATTAATTATGTTAACAAAATAGGCAGGGGAGAAGGGGTTCAAACCATTTTGACAAATGTTGACAAGGGGAGGTGGGGAGGGAGGAGGTTGGCGTCAAAAATGCTACTTTTTTGATAAATTTAATTACTTAGAAAAAGAAAATTAAGTCAGTATTTGCATATCTGTGTTATATACTCACACAAACTTATTTTAATAAAACTTTTATATTCCTACTTTTTAAAAACCGTGTTGAGCTTTAAAAATACCCGACACTATCTTGTATTATTTACTTATTTACAAAACTAAATAAGTAAATAATACAAGAACTAAATAAGCACACACAAGATGTTTACTTACTACTTTTTTCAAAGTTGTTGTTGGTTAGTCTGTTTTGCAAACATAAAGAGTTATATATATAGGTTGGCTGCATTATAATATTTAAACATTTATACCAGGTGTTAGCAACCTGTGACTCACAAGTTTTATGTGGTTCTTTCGATGTCAAAATGCAGCTTTTTAGCTCCGTACACTAATAATAATATAATATTGAAATAAAGATGCTGGTAGCTCTTTAAAAACTGAAAAACTGTTAATTGTAACTTTTGGCTCTTCAGTCTCAAAAGGAACGCATTTTTTGTTATACTAGTCTCTATTAGAAATAATGGCTTTTACTGTGAATTTAGATTAAGTTTAAAGTTAAAGTGAGGAGGATTGGTACATTAAAGTGTTTTTCTTTTCACAGAGCCCCTATAGGGATTTAGAAGTTAAAAATAAAATAAGAGGTTAAAATACTGCAATTCCAGTATATAAAAAAAAAATTAAAACTTTTATTAATTTTTCTATTAAATCAAAAAAGTAAATAGTATCAATATAGTTTTAACTATTCCCAGCAAATATTCTATAGCAGAATTTGAACCAATGTAGTTTTGCTCATTGGTTACTTAGTGGACCATTAGAAGCTGCCAAAGTTGCTTTTATACTTCATTTCTTCCCTTAGACATTCACTGCTCGTGTGACCATTTGGGGAAATTTATATGCCAAAGTTTTTAAATAAAATTTCCAAAATTTAAAAACATATATATTTATAAAGTTTTCGTTACCACAAGTAATGTAATGTAGTGTAATATATTGTTTTTGTTATTAAAATAATATCTTTAGTTATGATTATAATAAATTGTTGTAACTTTTTTTCAACACAGTGACTTTGAAACACGGTCATATACAGTGGCGTAAGAAGGTTTTTAAATGTTTGAAATAACCAGCTTATAAACAACAAGAACATTCCAAATTTTTTTACGTTCATATTTATCACAAAAAGATTCTTTAAAAAAAAAATTACTGTGATTTGAGAATGGGAACAAGAAAACCCAAAATCTTAGCCCCCCTCCTGTCCCAAATGTGAGAGCAACAAGTTAATGAAATTTTTTTTTTACTACTTTTAACTAGACTTATATTCATTGAGAAATTTTAAATTTCATAGTAAAATATTTTAGTGTTCAAGAACTCTTAAGATTACAATTACTGTGTTTTCAGTTGAATGGTTTTTCTGAAAATCAATCAGAAAGTACTGATACAATTTTATATTTAGAGATTTCTGATTGATTATTATTCTTGTAAATTGGACTTTTAACTATTTTAATGCTTCCCTTCATTTATTGAAGTTTTATAATATAAATCAAATGTACTTTTTGTTTGAAATCTAAATCAATAAACTGTCACTAGAAATGTCATCAAAGTCAGGTTATTTATTCTTTTTAAATTAACAAAATTTTCGTTTGTTGTATAAATTTGAAATATGTTCATAATTTAAAGGTGCAAGGTGTATACATTTTTGTGAACCCTTTAACCTTTTTTTTTTGTTCAGAGTAAGCCTTTGTAGTTATAAACTAGAAATGTGTTCATAACTTAAAAGTTAATTAATATTTTTTTCTATACCTTCTACTTTTATTTACTTTTTTTTCAAAATAAGTATTTGTAATTTTAAATGGTTATATTAATATTATATTCATTTGAAATATGCTCATAAATTAAAATTTAAATAGTTTTTTTTTTCTTAATATGTTACTTTTAATCACTTTTTTGTTTTAGTTGTAAACTAGTCCATTTAAAATACTGTATTGTTTTTTTTCCATTTTGTTTGATTCGTAGAGGGGGGAGGTGAATGAATAGAATGCTGACTTTTTTAGGTGGGGGTCTCTGGAAATTTGACAAGTTATTGATAAGGGGGAGGAGGTAAAAGTTGTCTAAAAATTGTTGATGTAAATAATGGACAGCCTTATATTGGATTAATTTTAGTGTTGAGTAATAATTTTTGTATCTGTTATGTCACAATTGATGATAAGTGGTTGTTATTTGTGGTATTTTAAAAATACTTAACACTTTTAAAAAAATAGATTCTGGGTATGATACTCGATTAAGCTCTGGAATAGCTCTTAGTAAATATTGTTTGCTCTGATTATCTATCAAGAAAAGATCCTTCAGATATCTGTTAGATATTAGATAGCATCTACTGTGCTAAAGGAATTAAATATTTTCCAAATTCCACAAATGACAGTCAACAATTTTTCTCAATTCAGAGTATCTTGTGTTTAAAAATTCACTTTTTTAAAAAAGATTTCTGCTTTTTCATAATGTATATAATTTCTTGTCAAATAAAAAAAAATCAAAACAGTTGTAGGGCTGAAAATTATTAATAGCACTGACCTCAAATATTTTCTACGTTGATTCAACGTTTTATTTTATACGATGGCCCAACATTGTGTTTAAAGTTGGCACAACGTTTTATTTACACTGATTCAGCGTTGAACTTTAATTAGCAAAACGTTGTATTCAATATTATTTGGAATTAAATTTTCATTAAATTCTATTTTCTTTATATATATATATATATTATATATATATATATATATATATATATATATATATATATATATATATATATAAATATACAGGGCTGTGGAATCGGAGTTGCAGAGTTGCTAAACAAAATAGCGACTCCAATAGTAAAACTTCTCAGTATTGCACGTGCATGTACAAAACATTCAATTAACCGTATTTTCATACTAAACCTCAAAGAACGTTTCATAAATTTGTCAAAAAAGAAATTTTTAACTTATCGCGTAATATTTTTTAAAGAATACAAAGAATTTTTCAAAAATTTTGCTTTGGAGTTGGAGTCGGAGTTGTGCTAAAAAAATTACAACCACTGGAGTCAGAGTCGTTACTTTTTTTTTATGACTTCACACCCTTGGATATATGAATATATGTTGTCAATGCTTGATCATCGGAATAAAAATCATGTTTGTGTTGATTTTGGTTTGATATTTTAATTATCACAGAAGATTTTATTTAAGTTATATAATTTTGCAATGGCAATGTTTGGCTGCATGCATTAAAATACGTAAAAGCAATCAACTTTTTGCGATGTTTTTACATACATTGAAAAAACGTTGATTTATATGCATTGAATCAATGTCAAGATATATACACTGGATCAACGTTGGGTTTAGATTGTAAAAACAATAAAAAATACATTGGGGAAACGTTGATTTATATACGTTGAATCAACCTCAAAATATATACATTGGATCAACATTGAGTTTAGATCGTAAAAACAATCAACTTTTTGTGATGTTTTTACACACATTGGACCAATGTAAATTTTCCAAATGTTTTTAATTTTATTGGTAATAATTTTATCATTAACCAAATGACATTGAATCAGCGTTGGTTTTGCATTGAAAAAAAGAGCTGACATTCACGATGGTTTTACGTATGTTGGCCCAATGTATGTGTGCTAGCTTTGCAGATATTGTTGGAAGTGGTTTTCCCACAAAGATAATGCTCAACCATCTGTTGTAGGATAATTAGTTTTTACACTTGTGTAGACTTGAAAACACTTCTTTAAGGTGCTTCTGTATATGCTACTGGCAGTGGAAACTTAGATATGCTTCAACATTTTACACCTGTTTTGCAGCAGTTAATATCTACATCGACAATAATTTACATTTTTCCGCTTCAATACAAACACAAGATTGGTAAAATAATATTTGAAGCAACAACCTTGGCTAAGTTAGACATTGACTAGATGGTCTATTCAGGGCCTTTCTGAATCTGTCTTCAAAGGAGAGAGAGGGGGGATGGGGTGGGGTGACATATCTATTTTTTGCTGAGTAAGGCCTAGAAATTTTTTTTTGCTGACTAAGATTATTATTTTTTCAAAATTATATCTGTAGTTTGCAGTTGGCTAACATTTGCTGACTGCCAACTACAGATCCGATTTCGCCAACTCCAGTGTCCAAATTTGCTAACTAATTAATTTTCTAGGGAGGTCAGTCACCCCCTCAGGACCCCCTGGCTTACAAAACTTCTGAATTGTTAATGTATAAGCTCTTTGTATTTACCATCAGCAGAAATGCTTGATGTTGAATCATTTAGGCTCAAGACATCAAATTTTGGAAACATTTGGTTGTTAGTTTTCTCTACCCTTTTTTCAAAGGTAACTAAATATCTTTTTGTGCTCTTGATTCTTTGTAATTTTCTTTTTGTAATTTGACCAAAGTTTTCAAAATTTTGTCCTAACAGCTGTTCTGTCATGAAACTTAGAAACAAAAAGAAGTTTTACTACATATTGTCTGGTTGCTAGTATTGGACGCCAATCAATATGTTCTTTTTCCTGACCAGTAAAATAATCTAAAGTTTTTCTATCCCAGTGAAGGATTAATGGCACAGTGGTGTGAAATGCTGCTTTGACAGTAGAACTAAATAGTATTTTATTGTTTTATTTTATTTTTTTATTTATTGAATAGTACTAATCATAATCTTGGTAAATTCTTTGGTCACCATCATCACCATCATCACCATCATCACCATCATCACCATCATCATCATCATCATCATCATCATCATCATCATCATCATCATCATCATCATCATCATCATCATCATCATCATCATCATCATCATCATCATCACCATCATCATCATCATCACCATCATCATCGTCACCATCATCACCATCATCATCATCATCACCATCATCATCATCAAAACCATCATCACCATCATCATCATCACCAATTTAAAATCACTAACTGAGTTTAGAAAAAATTTAGTCTAGGAACAAGCTGTCTTCTATTTTGATAAGAATCTTGAATCATGGCATGCAATGCTAAATAGGTCATTGTTTTTTGATGTTTCTTGGTTTATCAGGTTTGTAGCTGACATACATAAATAATGCATTATTTCAATTTCTTCCATTTGCAATGCAGCTTTTAAATATGTTTAATAATATAACTTCGGGCTTTTGTTGGTATTCTTGCCATTTTCCATCTTGGATAAAGAAGGAAAGTGTTTTTTTTTAACACAATCTTTCAAGCTCTTTTTTTAACCAATACAGTAATGAAATAACACTATTAAGACATTTCCTTGTGATGCAGTTTAATAGTTTTGAATTACTGCGGATGTTTTTCTTCAAAAACTACTGCGGATGTTTTTCTTCAAAATTAACTCCCACTAAAAGTCCTTCAAAATATTTAGTGGCAAAACAGCTGTTACACAAAATTTTAGAGCAAAAAACTTTTTAATGAAGAAATTAACTTCTTCATCAAAAGTAAAAAAAAGCTAATTCAAGACCTGTTTAAGACCTATCCTTTCATTCACAGATTGTTGTGTGTAAAATTAGTTTAAGAAACTTTTAACAAAATTACTTAGCTGAAGAATACATCACTGCTTTATGTCAAAAGTCATTGAAAAAGCGTGAAAACTGATGAAGAGAGAAGTGGCTAAAAATCTGATCACAAACAAAACACAGCTCTTAAAAAAAATCATTCATGTATAGAATCATGATCCTCAAATACATAAGACAGCATAGTCTTGTATTGATAGCCTCACACAGTTAAAGCTGTGGTTGCAGCTAATGGTGGTTTAACAAAATATTACAATTTGATTACATTAATTTTTATTGTTTCCAAGAGTTAATAATAATATTTTTTTCTAAAATTATGTTTTATTTGTGGTAAAAAGCAGATAGTAATGTGGATAATAAAAAAAGTATTCATTGTATCTAGTTAACACACTTAAGCACATATATATGTATACACACAAATATATGTATACACACATATATGAAAAAAATCTTTAATCTAGATTTTGGATCAATTTATTCTAATTCAAATGGTGACTCATCACTTCCTATTGTTCACCATCATCACTTTAATGAACCAGAGCAGATTGAACATAGTAAGTTTTATAAAAAATTAACAATTTTCATTATTTTATCAATAAAAGTATATATATATATATATATATATATATATATATATATATATATATATATATATATATATATATATATATATATATATATATATATATATATATATGAATTTTTAGAAACTAGAAATAAATAAATTTCATGGTACAAAATATGTTCTTTTCTTTTAAGAGCTTATATTTTTATACAAGTCTTTTAATACAAATTTTATAACTCTTTTTTCACATAGTAATTCTAAAATTTTACATATTTACTTATTTTACTACATTTTATCTATATTATTATATAAATATAACTTGTATATGTTTATATAATTTTTTTTTTTTAATTTAGCTATAGTAATTTATAAATGTTATAAATTTTCATAGTTTAATTATATTTTAGGTGAGTTTCATGAATATCCTTGCCTGAATGGTGGAGTGTACTACAATACAGGGGAGAAAGGATATCAATGCACATGCATTGAGGGATTTACAGGGGCTAATTGTCAAGGTATTATTTAGTTAGTTATCCTATTTCTCAAAAATGATTCACAAACATATTCAGATTATAATTTAATAACTACCACCTTTCAAAAAAAAAAAAGTTTAATTTTTTTTGTTTGTTCAAGATAACCTTTCTAAACTGTTTATCAACATTTAGAAAGGAGGCTGCACTTCAAAATTAAGTTTTTACAAACTTTGACAAATTTGATAATGTATTCATAGTTAAAACATGTAAAATTGTTGTTTTATCTATAAAATGTTTGTATTTATAAAAAAAGTAAACTTGATAGTTTTATCCATTAGTGCAGGTTAGGTCTTGATTATAATGTAATGCAATTTTATTGTTTTAAAAAAAAGTGTTTAAAAAAAATGTTATAAGAACTTCTTCAAGTAATAGTTTATTTTAAACAGATAAAACAGCTTTTTTAGACAAATTGAAAAACTGTATATATCTTTTCCATATCAACTGTAATGCAATTTTTGGTATTATCTGTAATGCATTTTTTCATACCCCAGCCAGTACACTTTCATTGGACCAATATTGGGCAAATATTGGGGTGTGCTAATCGAGTCATTAGTGGGCAAACATTAGCAAATGCCTTGCAGAATCATAACTCCAATATTGGGACAAGATTTGTTTTGATTGGCTAATCATGGCCCAACATTGGCCATTAAAGGCCTAATGTAGGGTAACACTGGCATATTATAGTCCCAATATTTTCTAGTACTAGTGCAATATTAACCATTACAGGCCCAATTTCAGCTTCTACCAATCAATATTGACCTTTTCTGGCAATTTAAGACCTTCAGCTAACACTCAAACTCTATGGGATCATCACAGACTCTATATAGGTCAAACAATGTTCACCACTGGGTAATATCTACCTAATGCAAGATAATAATTGTCCAATATTGTCCAATATGAGCCTAGTAATGTCTCTTTCTGGCACTATATTGACCTTTTTATATTCACACCACTTTTTTTTTGGCAACAAGAGCTTACAGTTGTCACAGCCATGCTAACAAATTTGTAATAAATAGAACAACAACAAAATTTCTTTTCAAAATAATCTTTTTAAAATAAAATGTCTGATTCAAACAAACACTTCATTAAATTTGATATAATTATTTCTTATGAAAAAGAAAAATTAAATGTTTTCTGCAAGATTTTCTAATCTTCTAAGCCTCTCATCACGAATTTTATTAAGGCCATCCTTATCAATTTAACCCATCAGCCATTTTGAAAGGATCTTGTCCAGTTGACTAATTGTTGCTGCAGGTTTTTTCTTATTGCATCTGCATAAACAAATACCAAGAATATATAGAGGTAAACAGAAAATTAAAGAAAAAATTTCATAAATTTTCTTTTTTTTTTCAAATTTGGGTATAGTTGAAGCAGAAATGTTTAAAAAATCAAAACTTTCAATGATCATCGATGGTTTATGATAAATTTTCATAAAAGCTTAAATTTTACTTTAATAAATATCACTTAAAATAAATTATTTCTCAAACATCGAACTTAGTTATATATACAGGATTAGTAGAGAATAACAATTTGTGTAAATTTTTATCATTAGATGAGATAATTCTGTAGTCAGTTAAGTTAAAAAATTTTAATAAATCTTATTAAATGACAACTATATACATTCTATATACATTCTAAAAAATGTTTGTCTAAATAATTAAGTAATTGAAATACTAACTAGTAATAGCAAAATAATAACAAATAAAAATAATAAGTGTATTTAAAAAACATATACATTATTTAAAAATTTTTTAATGTCTCAAATATGCAACTGACTTATCTATGAAATGCCTAGACTTACCATATATAACAATTTTCACTCCAACTCACTAAACTCTAGCTTTCTTTTTCATCCAATAAAATTGCATCAACAGTTGTTCTGTTAATATTCTTTTCGATATTTTTTTCAGACAGTCTAAACTAAATAATTTATCTAAGTAAAAAACAACATATAAGCTATTATAGATCATCTGCAAATGGATGGATGCCACTTGACCACAATTAGTTAAAGTTAAAAAAATTATAATCATACATTTCAGGGTTTTCCTTGTTATTTACCAAGTTTTGGTAAATGAACTTGCACTCTTAGAATGTTTAGCTTAATGATAAAATTTTCCAGATTAACTAAAAAAATACAGCGCGTTACTAATAGAATTTATTCTATAAGTGTATTGTTTTAAATTCATCTTCAGTTTATTAACAGCTAAGAAAAAAAAATTAGTACTAAAAGATCTAGTATTAAAAGCAATAAAAAAAATATATCTGAGTTACCACCCTAATGGTCACAAGGCCATAACATTTAACTTGCCCAAATCAAATATGCTGTTTTAAAATATAAAGTGTACTGTAAAATAAAAATAGAGACATAAACTAAAGATTAGTGGTAACTGCAAAGTAAATTTGTTTTCAATTTTGAATCAATTTTTAAAATTGTGTAATTAAAGAAAAATAAAATAAATGTACTATTATAAACTATATATATTTATTTATTAAGCACAAAATTTAGGCATGTATATTTATTACATTGTTTTGGCAAAGTCATCTGCATATGAAGTGAATATTTAGCTAATTTAATGGTTAAATAACCATTGGCCACATAGAAGGAAAAGTCAAATTTTTTTGTTCAAAAATAATAATGGTGGACTTATATGTTAGTTTATAAGCACTTGTTAGCAAGAAAGTATAATTTATTTAATCAAATAACATATTATCTATAATGAAAATGAAAAAGCTTATTAAAATAGAAATATAAAATATCACAAATTGATATAAAATAGCTTACTGTTCTTGATTTGTGCTCAGAATCTTCTATAAGAACTGGGCTAAATTCCAGAAGACCATTTATCTCTTTGAGTAGAAAGATCAGGGCTTCTGAAAGAGTTACAGTCATGGTTTGTTCAATAAAGGCTCTTTAATTTCAGCTCTTGATACACTTTGGTAAATCGGCAAAACAGCCTTAGCCACTGCTTGCTTAACTATATCAGAAGTTATAGACAAAAAAAATATTACATGCTAATAGTGCATATTTTAATAAATAAAAATCTTTTTAATAAATAAAGGTTAAAGTCTTAGTTGTTTGAGGGTGAAGACCTAAAATAAATTCTAAAAGTAAAACTTTTACTTGTTGTGGAAGCAGAACATACTGATGGTTGACCAAACAGGATGGGATGGTGTTGCTACAATTAGGCATGGAGATGGTGTACGTACAGTTAGAAATGGAGATAATGGTACAGGAAGTAATTTATGCATCACAGTTTGTGACAGTTGTAGTTCTTCTTCTGAACTTGGATCATACACTGACGACTTCTTTTCAACAATTATTTGGAATGCATCTCAGATCCAAATTCAAGATCCCTGAAGAGTTAGAAACAAAATAATTTTTTCAAATGTTTAAATAATATATTGAAAACTAAATCATTGTTAAAATAAATTTAGGGTAATTAAAAAATATACAAAATAACATTATATATAATCTTACACTTTTTTTAAATAAATATTTCTATAAATAGCTGAGTTATGTATAACAAAAAATTAAGAATTACAATATCATAATCCTGCACTATAACTAATTGTTAAGAATTATAGCAAAAATATAATTACCTATTACTGTATATATATATATATATATATATATATATATATATATATATATATATATATATATATATATATATATGTGTATATATATATATATATATATATATATATATATATATATATATATATATATATATATATATATATATATATATATATATATATATATATATATATATATATATATATATATATATATATATATTTGTTTATATATTTTTTTATTTTTATTTTTTATTTTTGTGGCTATATTAACTTAGAGACAATTTATAAATTTTCATAGTCTAATTATATTTAAGGTGAGTTTCATGAATACCCTTGCCATAATGGTATTATATAAAAAATATCATACCATTGCTGTTTCTGCTTTTTTTCCTCTTTTCTGGCTCATCACCTTGTTCAAAGCAACTTGAAAAAATGTCAATGTTGTCCAAAAACTTGCCCTTTTCATCTTTTCATAATCTGAGACTTTATGATTAATTTTTTTAAATCATGAGGTATAAAAGAATGCTACCCACTGTGTTAGCTTTATTAGCATATCTATTAAAAAATGTGAGCATACATACATATATAGTATAATTATAGAATTGGTAATAGTTTACTTACTTCCTACATTTTACTTACTTCCACTTTTCAATATCCACAAATATGGGTAGACAGGCCAGTCTTTATGATTTATTAAAGGTGCTTTTTCTTTTTTTTTTCCCATTGTGTGGCACCTATTCCCTGAGACCAATAGTAGCTAGCGGATTTCTGTAATATCCTACAATCTGAAACTACTGCCACTATCTCCTGAAACTTTGGTAGATGAAACCTGGTATGCTGTAAGAATAAAGTAAAGAAGTATATATAAACAAAAATATGTCTAAAATCATTATATTCTCACTCACTGTTTATAATTTTTTCTTTCACTTATGCGGTAGTGATGTTGTGGTAGAGCACTTGCTTCATAAGCGAGAGGTTCCAAGTTTGATTCTCACCAGGTCCCTAGTAGTACCGTGCTCAATTTGTTTCTTAGCGCAGAGGCCTTGTTTGTCAAGGTTCGTGTTTTGGAGTTATAGAGTTGTGAGAGGGTTATAACCACAAGTAACCTTCTCATTCTGACCAGAATTTTCATCAAGTAACTGTCCACAATTTTTATTTCTTACATAATCAATTATATCTATATAATCAATATGTGGACATTTTATATTGGTGCAATTTTGTTAACAATATTTAACCAAAATAAATGGGAAATTAATCACAACTCTTCCTTTTATTTCTTGTAGTCTGAACCACTGTTTAATAATAATATTGCAACATAACAATAACAATGCTACATAACAATAATTTGCATTGTTAAATACCCGTACTCACTGTAAAGGCTAAAAGTAGAAAATAAAATATAGCAAAAACATTTGCCAAAAAATATAATCTTTTTCGTTCTAACAAGCAAAAAATAAATTTTTTAAGGTTGATAGGTCTGTTTCAAAATAAATCTTGTGCAGTCCTGTCAATCTTTTGTTTACTGAACTATTAAATTTAAATTAAAAGTTTATTTTCAGCTTTTTAATACAAAAAGTATTTTATTTTTCATCAAATGTTTTTGCTATATTTTATTAGAACTTTGCTAAAACACAAGAAAATTCTGAACTTAATATTTAATGTGTAAACATATTTAAAAAAAAGAAACTGAATTGCTTTTTATTAATTTTAAAAATTTTAATTTTTTTTTTAAATATTTGAACAGAAATAAAGATGAATAAAACACATTCAATGATCAAGATATATCATGTTTTTGCACAAGTCATGTGTAAGCATTATAGTTTATACTTATAATGAAGTTTCAATCAAACTAAGTTATGATATTTTAGTTCTACAGTTTTGCAGACCAGAATATAACCATGTTGCTAGTTTTTTTTTTATTAAGTATTTAAAAATTTACAGTTTCCTTACATTTGTACGCAGTTACAATACCCTTGGAAATATCCAATGATACTGTAATAAGTTAATAAATTTTATTGTGGAATACATCATAATTATAACTCTTATTATCATAAGCTTAACATTTGAGAATAATAACACGCTTTAGGTTGACCTGGGGTGTGGAGTGGTAAAAAAAAAGTACCTACTTTTAAAAAATTCTTTGAATTCTTAAAAAAATATTACGTGATAGTTTTAAAAAAAAATTATTTTTTGCCATATTTATGAAAAGTTCTTTGAAGGTTTAATATGAATATAAGGTTCATTGAATATTTTGTACATGCACGTTTTGAGTCGCAGTTTTGTTTTTAAGTTATTATTTTAATTGTCGCGACTCTGACTCCACAGCCTAGAGATTGACAATGGGGTTTAATGAGAGGGAGCCTGAATAACATGTGTTGTGATGATAGACTAAACCATTGAATAAAAACATTTTTAGATTGCTTTCAAAAATATATTTATACATCAAGCAGTGTTTAAGAGATTGTTTAGGATATTATTTACAGTTATACATTCATACTACTATCATGCTACAAAAACAGAGGAATGAGAATAAATTTAGTCCAGTATACTAACATCGGAAAATTAAAAAAAGACTCGATAGTTAAAAAAATTCATAATCAATCCAATGGTTTTTAACACTATATAAATCTAAAATATTTTAAATCTAACAAACTGATTATTTAATTTTATAAAATTGTTTTCTTCTGAGTAAAAAAAAAACATTTATGAAAATTTCTTTAAATTGTAAACAAGATGTTCTCTAAATATAGCTTGGTAGTATAGCTTTCTGGGAATTTTCTTCGCCTTCAATTTGTAGGAGTTATAAATAATAATTATTAAAAATCCATTTTTTCTAATATGCGTCTGATAACCTGTTAAAGAGGTAATTGTGATTTACGTATCAAACGCTTTAAATGTCCAAGGGAGGTTTCAAATGGGAATGCAGATTAGTTATCAAGTGATCCAAATTTTTTTACTTCTCATATGTGTATCAGGCCATGTACATTGAAGCTAGTAAACTCTCTACCATAAGTTTCCATAGCATTTTCTACAAGAGAGTAGCTGCATAAACTGCATGACTTTCACACAGGTCTGGACTTGCGAAACAGTAAATCCTAACAATTAACAAAAGAAAGATTTTATACACAGAATTTAACAGGTGTCCGTTTAGTGCAAAAATTCCACTATATAATAAAAATTGTCTAAATTCAACTACTTTCTGTCTTTCAATGTCACTTAAAGATCTACACTTTCTGGAGAACTAAAAGTTCTTAATTCAAGAACTTTTAGTTTCTTATTTAGAAGCTTTTCTGAAATGCCATTAATGAATTAATGTTTTTCAGTAAATACAATAAAATCTTCATCATTACTCCTTGGCACACTAAGTGCATGTAGTCAGGTGGAAACTCTGTCACCATGTCAATAGACAAATTTTTTAAAGGAGAAACTCCTATGTGATATTCAAAATCCGTCATCTGATTAAAAGCTTGATCAGTCCTAAGTAGAGCATTAGTGGAAATATAACCTTGTTGTGCTATTTCCCTTTGCGTGTGCACTTATCACAACTACATCCAGTACAACCTTTGATTTGTTTCACATATGCTTATGCAGGGGTGTTGCAAGTAAAACAGAAAAAGATGTTACCAACATTCCTAATTTAAATGCTAAACATATCTTATTATTTTATATCTGGATTTTCAGTTTCTTTTTTGCCAGAATCATTCTCTGATAATGAATTTTTAATTTCATCCTGATGTATATACCTTTTCCATTCATGTCCATCATTAATTTTGTTATCATTTGATAAAATTTGAATGTTCAGATGCAATTTCATAACTTTCTTCAACTATTACATCTAAGCTATTGTTTAATTCAGATTCATTCTCATAATCAAACACATTTTGATTTTTAGAGGATTATGAATCAACGCAATTTACTTTTTCTAATGACAAAAATTATTAAAAATCATTACGTAGGGAGAAAAAGTAAATTAGTTATTACGAAAACACCTCAAAATATTGGTTGAAAGGTATAGTATTCCTGCTGACAGATTCTTTGTCTATAGCGGTCATAATTTTATTTACTGCCTTCATAATTTTTCTTTTTTTTTTTTAACAGTATGAAGGCACAGTATTCTATCTAGTAATATAGATTGATCAAAATTTATATTAGGTTATGACAACTGAATAGACAGTTCTAGCAAGTTAAAGTAATAAAGGCAAAAATATTAATATAAAAACAAAAAAGTTTTTATTCTTTAAATAGTAATGAAGATTACAAACCTAAGTATAGATTATTTAATTGAAGTTGAAAAAATTCACATTCTAAAAAACTGCCTTTAGTAGACGGAGGAAAGACAGTTTTCTGGGAAAAATGTGAGCAGTGAGAAATATTGGATTAGATTTGAAAAAAAAAAAAAAAAGAAAAAGATTTTAAAACAAAACTCTATTTTTATTTTTAGATTTTAAATTAAGCTTTATAAAAACATACCTTTGTATACATTTTATCTCATTTACTTTTGTAAATGAGATAAAATGTTTTATATGCTTGTATAACGAAAAGTTTTCAAAAATTTTAAAAAATCATTTTGGATAGAGTATCCTATTATATAATGTTTTATGGCTCATTTAAATTTTGAAAGTCTTTTAATTTTTTCATGATCTAGTATCATATATCTGGAATAAAATCATAGCATTCTTCATACTCAAGTAAGTAGAAAAAGTAATTTCTAAAGTAGATTTAATTAAATATTTAATTATGAAGCAGCTTATGTGTTCACATTATGTTTTTATAAAACCTAATTTAAAATCTAAAAATAATAATAGAGTTTTGCTTTAAAATCTTTTTTTTTTTCTCTTTTCAAAATCTAATCCAATATTTCAGTTTAGGGAAAGTCGAGTTCCCCTACACTGTGATTTTCATAAAACCTTTTGCAAAGAAGATATTAATTGAGAAAAAACAAGAACATTAAAGGTAGAAAATAAAAAGTTTGAAAAAAAAATAGGGAGGCACTAGAAATAAAAAAAGAAATGTGCTCTGCACAAAACGGTGGGATCAATCTTGATGAAAGATGATGTCAAAGCTATGTTTTGAATGCCGTTTTTTAAATTTAAAGGCAAAAGAAGCCATTTAACTGCTGACATCAATAGTAACAATTTGATATAAACTATTACAGTATAAGAATAATTATTGTAATATTTAATAACCTGATGATGCTGGTATCTATAACACAGTGAAATTTTATTAAATAATGAAATTGTTAGTATTGAGAGAAGCTGTATTTCTTGATGTTTTAAAATAATATATAATATGCAAGATTTCATCTTTCAAAACATGTTTACATATATATATATATATATATATATATATATATATATATATATATATATATATATATATATATATATATATATATATATATATATATATATATATATATATATATATATATATATATATATATATATATATATATATATATATATATATATATATATATATATATATATATATATATATACATATGTATAAATGCAGCATTAGATGCACATGGATGAGATCATAAAAGAATAGGAAGTTCCGAGTACATACATTGACTACCAATTAGCCTGATCTGTAATAAAGTGCTGCATCATTGACTTGGGGTTTGGCAAGTGGCAGTAATCTTTTCTTGGATTATTCTTCATTTTTTTCTTCTTTTTCTAAAAAGTTGAAGCACACTTTTTTACCTTGAAGAGTGCAAAAATGCTATTTAGGAAATTACGACCTAAGATATTTCTCATACTCTACCTGGTTCTAACGTTCTGTGTCAACATTAATTAGTAGCAGAATAGTAAATAATTTTGATTGTAAAGTAGTAAATAATGTTTTAGTTGACTTCTTTTTTTTAAGTTTACAACTTTTAAAATAAAATTATATAGAAATGCTCTAAGTATTTAAGAAATATGTTTAAAAAGTTTAAAAAATTTTAAAATTAAGTTTTTAAAATTTTTGTTTTAGAAGTAAATCACTGTTATCCTCAACCATGTCTTAATAATGGCGTATGTCATCCTGTTGATTACAGTCCTTTTTTTATTTGTCAATGTAAAGTTGGTTTTATTGGAATAAAATGCAATGGTGAGTTTACCATTTTTCAATTTTAATGTAAAGAAAACTTTAACTAAAAATAAAAATCAATATAATTTATTTTGGTAAGAATTTTTTTGTATATTTTATATTTTTGTTTATTAGAAATTAAAGTTATTTAAAATTTTTTATGTTTTGTAGTAAATTTTTAAAGTTTGTAATAAATATCTTTTTTTTTTTTTTGCTATTCCACTTTTTAAAGATTTTTTTAATATACTATTTTCTTTAAATTAAGAAACAAATCCTTGTTATCCAAATCCTTGTAAAAACAATGGAGTATGTTCCCATAATGGCACTGATGTTACATGTGTCTGTTCTCCAAAGTTTACTGGGGCATTTTGTGAAAGTAATATATATTTTTTAATATATATTTTTTTATATATATTTTTATATAATTTATTAAAATATTAATAACATTTAAATCATTAAAAGATTATTTGAAAAGATTATTAGTTTAGTAATAAGAGTAATTTTAATACTTCTATTATATATATATATATATATATATATATATATATATATATATATATATATATATATATATATATATATATACAGGCCTCAGCGGGAAGCGAGAGCTTCAGCTCTCGCTTCCCGCGGAGTGTATATGTATATTGTATATGTATATTTCTGCCAATGTGTATATATATATTTTTATATACATATATATATATATGTGTATATATATATGTGTGTGTATATATATATATATATATATATATATATATATATATATATATATATATATATATATTCATATATATATACACATAGAAATATATATACAATATATATATATTGTATATATAAATATACATATATATTTCTATGTAATTATATATATATATATATATATATATATATATATATATATATATATATATATATATATAATTATAAATATAATTTTAACTATGTTAAATTATATAAAACTACATTTTTAATAAGAGTCAAAATCTTGTCTTGTTAATCCATGTCGAAATGGGGGAGTGTGCATAGAGTTGGAGGGAGATGGAAAGTTCCAATGTCATTGCCAACAAAATTGGAAAGGTCCTTTATGTGCAGGTTTTACTTTTTTTTAGTTCAATAATTTAAAATTTTTGTGTACCAAATACTGTGTTCTTTTGTGTTGTACTCTTGTGTTCTTTTGTGTTGTACTCTTGTGTTCTTTTGTGTTGTACTGCCTGTATCTACAATATGTTAGACTAGTTAGTTATGATTTTTTTTTTTTTAATTATAGATTTTGATCACTGTTATAAAAATCCGTGTGAAAATGGAGGCATTTGTTTAGAAGGCTTTAATAATTTTTCTTGTAAATGTTTAAATGGTTTTAGTGGAGTTACATGTCAAGGTAAAAACTTTTGTTTCAATGAAACAATGCAAACAATGTTTTTTGTTTTGTTATAATTGTTATAATTGTTTAAATTAAAGTTCTTTAAACTTAATTTAAATCATTTTTTAGACCATGTTTGTTCCCCAAATCCTTGTTTAAATGGTGGTACTTGCTTAGAAAATGGAGATAAGTTTAAGTGCATATGTCCTAAATGGGCTTCTGGTGAACTTTGCGAAGGTTTGTTGTTTTGATTTTTTTTTTAATTTTTATGCTATATACCTTTTGCACTTGCACATGATAAAATCTTGGATATAATTGTTGCATATAAATATTGGTATGAACCATTTTGTTGTCTTTAATAATGTTTAGAGAATTACTAAAGCAGAATTTTTAAATGTATAGATATATTATAATTTTTATATAAAAAATATTATAATTAATAATTTATAACAAAAAAAAAAGAATTCTTGTTAATTTTAAATCAAAATCAACAAGAGTTTCTTTCCATGCTGAAATCTTGTTAATGTTGTCATTAGTTACAAAACAAAATCTTGTTAAGGTTGTCATTAGTTACAAAACAAAATCTTGTTAAGGTTGTCATTAATTAAGACTAAAGGTAACACAATCGTTAAACTTGATAAAGATTTTATTTGATAAAAACTAGTTAAATAGAATTTTTAAAGTTATTTATACTATACACTTATATCACAATTCTAAAAGAAAAATCAATGGAAAAAATTACTCCAAGTTGTAAATTGGAACTTTAAGTTGTAAATCGCAATTTTGAGACAAAAGTTGCAATCTTATGAATTGAAATCTTAATAAATTAAAAGCTGAATAATTTTTTTAAATGTATTGAAAAAATGTACAATTGATTTTGTATGATGATAATTTAGAAAACAGACCTTGCTTAATCAATCCTTGTTTAAATGATGGGAAATGTATTGATGGAAGTTCAGGGTTTCAATGGTCATTTGCTCCTCTCCAATATTACTGTCTTTGTAAACCACCTTACAAAGGAATTCATTGTGAACGTAAGTTTTATTTTATTTTACTTTTTAAGTAATGTTCTTTTGTTACTCCAGAGAATTGTTTCCGTAGCAATATAAACAATAGGTTACCTTTATTTATTACATTTAATTAATATTTATTAAATGCATAAATACAATAGAGTTTTGTGTTTCCAAATAAAAAGATTTAGGTCATTTTATTTTTTATCAATTATTTACTTAAAGTTGCAACTTTTAAAAGTAAAATATGAATATAAATGTAAAAATATTATTCATTTTTTAATGAATTGGTATTTGTTTAAAAAAAGAAATTAATTTGTAAATAAAGTTAAAAAATAAAATTGTAAATAATCTACTAATATCAGTTGTACTAATACCAATAAACCAAGTTGTACTAATACCAATAAACCTTATATACATAAAAATACAAAAAAAAAATATACAGAAAATATATCATAATATACAAGTATTAACATTTAATACTCTGATATTCTATGTTTTTTATGTTGTACATATATTTTTTTATTCTTATACTTTTAATAGTGTTTCAGCTAGAATCACAGCTCCTCTGCTGAGTTCTGTGCTGTCTGTGCTATCTGCTAGCTCCTCTGCTGTGCTCTGTGATAAGACTGATAAGTCTTCTTGGAGCACCTTAATAACTGAAAAAAAGTGGTAGGGTTTAATAGCATATAAATTGTAAAAAGAGATGGTTTAAAAGCATTTAAAAAAAAGATTGTGACATGAGATTGGTTTGAAAGCATTTTAAAAAGAGATTGTGAAGTGAGATTGGTTTGAAAACGTTTTAAAAAGAGATTGTGAAGTAGGAATGGGGTATAACAGGGTTGATAGCCCTAAAGTCTTGTTTATGCACCAAGTTTTATTTACTCATAACTTGTTAAACTTTATGCTTTAAAAAATATATATTTAAGGTAAAAACACGTGAAAAAATAATTGACTTATTCTTTTTCTCAATTTTTTAACCAATGTTGTTGATACTCTTTTAAAAATCTTGAGTTGTTATAAACATAATTTAATTTCTCATTACTGCATTTTTAGATTTTTAAATTTTTCACACAATTTGTTTTTATTTTTTCTAAGGATAATTTCAAATACATCTTTTAACTAAAAGTTTTGATTTACTTGGTTTTGATTGTTTTGAAATCTTTTGAAAATATAGTTATATAGGAGCTGGCTATTTAAAAAATTTAAATTTTAGTTTAAGCCTGTAACTTTTCAAAGTAGTATTTTTCAAAAAATCTTTAAAATAAAATATAAAAAATAAAGAGCCTAATAAAAGAAAAACTTATTAGAAGGTTTATTTTTTTAGTTCTTTGCTTAAATTTTCTTTTCTATGTGTTCTTATTATTTATTTTTCTTTTGAATTTTTTTTATCAGTATTATTGTTGCTCCAACAATTTCTCATAGAAAGTTAAAAAAAAGTTATTAAAAAACTCTTTTAGGTTTAAATTTTGCTAATTAATATTATTGCTTATTGTTTTTATTTACTAAATAAGATTATTTTACTTTGCTAATCTTAACTTTACTCTATAAGATTAAAATAATTTAGATTAAAATTAGAAAAGATTTTCTTTATAGGCCATGGTTGCAAACACTGTGACAAGAATGCGCATTGTGTTGTTGATCATTGTGTATGTAATCCAGGTTATGAAGGAAATGGTTTTATATGCCACAGTATAAATTTTGTTCATTTTTTTGTTTTGTTACTTATATTTTTTATTTGTGGCATGCCTTTTAAATTGCATGTAGCTTGAATTTGTTTCTATTTGTTTTTTGAATTTGATTTCTATTAAGATGATTAGGTGATGATGATGATGATGATGATGATGATGTTGATGATGATGATGATGATGATGATGATGATGATGATGATGATGATGATGATGATGATGATGATGATGATGATGATGATGATGATGATGATGATGATGATGATGATGATGATGATGATGATGATGATGATGATGATGATGATGGTGATGATGATGATGATGGTGATGAGGATGAAGAGGATGTAGATAGTGATTTACTTCTTTTTTGTATTATTATCTTTTAATAGGCTTAGAGATTAAAATCTATTAAAAAATCTTAAATGTTTTTTATTCTCAAGTTATGAACTGGTTTTAATTTAAAAATTTTTTATCTTTTAAACATTAAAAACTTGTTTGTAAACCATGGTTTATATTTTTAAATATTATCTTTTAAACTTTAAAAACTTTTTTGTAAACCATGGTTTATAACTTTAAATATTATCTTTTAAACTTTAAAAACTTGTTTGCAAACCATGGTTTATAACTTTAAATATTATCTTTAAATTGTCTATTAACTTTATTTAAACATGTAATGTTAATCTGTAATTCTTAGTAGTAAATTTACTAATTTCAATCTTTATTAACTAATTGATTAACTAAACCTAAAATTTAAAATAATAATAGCTATTAATAGTTATTTAAAAAATTTTGTTTACCTCAAATGTTTATTACTTAACATCAATTTTTCTCAATTTTTTTATTTGAACTAACACAATATAAACTTTTTGATGAAGTAGTGCATAACAAATAAATTTAATTATGTATATTTATATATAATATGTTTATATATAATATAGTTATATAATAATATTACATTATATCTTACATTTTTTTTTGTAACAACTTAGCTCAGTCATATGAGCTTTGTTTAAAAAAAATATAATGCTTTTTAATAATTATAAACCATAAACTGCTTATTGTGGTTTTTATTCTCTTTTTAGTGTACAACTAAAAATACTTTTACTTCAAAATTTTCATTCCAAGAGCTAATGAATTGACTTGACTGTAAAGATTTATAAATGAACTTCATTTTAGCATAAATCAATTCAATTTTAAATTCTTGGTAAAGTTTAATTATGTAGTTGAACCTAGTTTAAATATGTAGTTGAATCTAGTTTAAATGTGTAGTTAAGCCTAGTTTGATTATGCAGTTGAATCTAGTTTATCGAATAAAAAGTTACGTAATCTCTCCTTTGTGGCAGCAGGCTATAAGATACTCGATGTGTGACTAATATATATATATATATATATATATATATATATATATATATATATATATATATATTACCTTAAATTTTGTGTTATAATTATGTAATTGAATCTTCTTTATAAATATAATTATCTTATTAGATTACACAATTGCATGTTACATTGTGATAAAATTAACTTTTTACCATGAAGAAATTTTTAAGCAATTCTCATGACTAATTAAGTAAAATAAAAATGTAACAATGCCTAAATGTAATTTAAATAAATAACAAATTTTTAGATGTCAATATATTAGCTATTATATAGATAATATATAGCTAATATATAGATAGTCAATATATTGTCAATATATATATATATTTTTTTTTTTTTTTTTTTTTTTTTTTTTTTTTTTTTTTTAGTAAATTAAACTATTTTTTTAATTTTAGATAATATACAATGTAAAAGTTGTTTGTGAATAGAAACTTGAGTTTTTAGAAGTTATTTTTATTTGATAATGGCAACAATGATAATGATGATGATGATCATGATGATGATGATCATGATGATACTAATGATGATGATGATGATGATGATGATGATGATGATGATGATGATGATGATGATGATGATGATGATGATGATGATGATGATGATGATGATGATCATGATCATGATGATTATGATCATCATTATGTTGATCATGGTAATAATTTATTTCATAAAAAAGTTTTTGTTTTAAAAAAAATATTGTTTAGAAAAAGAAAATATGTGTCATCCTAACCCATGCTTTAACAACGGACATTGCATAGAATCTCCTGCAAATTGCCAGGGTGATAATTGTGGATTTACTTGTGTATGCTTGGCACCATATCTTCCACCATTATGTAAAGGTTGATTTTTTTTAAAATAATAATGAATAGATATTTTAAAAAAATTTTAATTTGATTTTTTATCCACTTTTGAAGAAAGGTTCAATATTCTTTTAAAATTTCTATAGAAACCTTAATAGTTTCTATAGAATTTGCTATAAGCGTTTTTTAAATATAATATAGTTATTAAAATAAGAAAAAATTGATAAAATTGTAATTTATTATAATTACAATACTATTATACTTAAAAATTTATACCTGGTGGGAAATAGGCTAGTGAATAGCTATAATTGTCACGATAATAACAGCAATATGGCCACAAAGATCGCTAGCTTTTTTTAAGTTAGCAAAAAGTTATTGATATTTGTAAAGATAAAGACAGCGATTTGGCTACAAGGACAGGTAGCTTAATAACCTAAAAACCCACTGGCTATTGTAGCTTAAGTCATACCATAATAAAATCTCTGTCTAAAAAATTTTGATACGTAGCTACCAACCAGCTATATATTTGTAAATATTTTGTAGCTAGCTACAAACCTACGATATATAGCTAGCAACACATTGCTACAATATCGCAATGTTTAAAGTTTAATTATTCTTATAATTATAATAGACTCAACACTAAAAATCGAATTTTTAAAGATATTAAAGACAAAAAAAAATCGTTGAAAATCGTTATAAAGCTAGCTAGTTGCTCATTTTCCACTGGGTAATTACTATTATACTTTTATTTTTGATTTAACAGTTTATACAATTTACAATTTTTAGAAGCAAATCCTTGTGTTCCGAATCCTTGTGAAAATGGTGAATGTCAATCCATTGGAAATGGTGATGTGATGTGCAAATGCAATGAAGGTTTTAAAGGCAAACTCTGTGGAGGTTGTTATTTTTTATTATTTATTTTTTAGCATGCCTGAAATACAAAAAATTAACACTGCCCTCTGAAATATAAACAGCCAAATAAAATAGTCTATTTTTTCAATTTTTTTTACTAAATACAGCATTTGAATACAGTACTCTTTCAATGAATACATTACTCTTTCAAGCAGGATCAAATTTTTAGTACTACATATAAGGAAAAAGATTTGTATACAATACAACCTGATAATGAATAAGCTTGTTGTTTTGTGTGCATTGGAGTTTTAATGTAAAAAAGTCTTCCAAAACATTAGCAACTTTTTTATAACTAATAAAAAAAAAATGTTTTTTTTTGCAGTTGTATTATAAGGAATGATTTTAACTTGAGATTACATTTTTGCATTGTTTTGGTAAGAGAACTTTATAATATTTCTGTCTTACAAACAATTTTTTTGGGTATTGGTCAGCAAACAAATGTATTTAGTTTATCGAGAACGTATTATCAAAGATTATAAGAAAGGAGTCAAACAAAAAGAAATGTCATCATGCGCTCCATTAACAAGTCAATGGTATTGTCAATGAATCAAACAATTTGATAAAAGCTAATAAAAACAAAATATTAGGACAGAAAACCATGCAAAACATGTTGTTTCACTGTTAAATAAATTTTGACATAAAAAAATAATTTTTGCAAAACCATTTTTCATGTCAAAAAGAATTGTTTTGACATTTCTAATGATACCATTCAAAAACTGAAAACTTTCAGTGTTTAAAAATACTGTTTGCAGATGGTAGCAACTTTCAGAACTACAAAACAACAAAACAACAAAAAAAAATTTCATTTCTCCAAAAATTTAAAAAGTAAAAAAACTCCTGGTACACCAAGTAGATATTCTTGTGTTGTGGTGATGTTATGTTATTTTTGTTAGAATTGGTGGCTAGAATGCGTTCTACAACTTTGAAAAAAGCAGATCAGTTTACATCATATAAAATATCCTTTACCAATCGATCAATGGTAGAAGCATTGATACTAGCTGCATTGGGAACTCTCTCTTAACTTTTGGCTGTTGAATCCTGGTTATTATGGCATTGTTCGTGGCTGGTCCAGTTTTGGCTGATAATTAAATAAGCGACTTTAAAATTGATTGAGAATGTGAATTGAGATGAATGATCTGCTGATGGTTGAATTTGCAGTTTGGTTTTTTAGCTACTTTTTAAATTAGTATTTTGACTGTTGAAGCAAGAGAGCAATCACAGTCTTGCATCTTTTAGATTTTTCCAACAGGTCTATTGAGTTCATAGAAAGTGGAATAAATTATGTTTTGTACAATGCATTGGAAAACATGTAGAAATATGAGGCTAATAAAACTGAGGCTAATAAGAATCATATGAGGCTGATAAGACTTCGCTCATATGAGGTTAGTGGTTATGATAGGTGTTGGTGTTGATTAAATATATAGTTGGTTAATAATTAAAAAGATTTTTTTTCTTTTTAATTGTTTTTTTTATTTTTGTTTTTGTAGCTTTTAAATTTTTTTTTATTATAGTCTTCATGATTTATAATAAATTATTTTTAAGTAACTTTTTTTTTCATCACAAATTAAATAACTGAAATTAAAGTTCTGAAAACTTTATAGGAAAACAAACAGGTTAGAAAATCACATGCAATCTAACTATCAATACTTGAAAATCATGTGCAACCTAACTATCAATACTTGAAAAGCTAGGAAAAAATAAAATAACAAAAATCTGATCAACTTGTTTAAAAATTAATATTTTAAAAAAACTGTTTAAAATTTACAAATACTCATCGACTATTTTGGAAAAGAGTATTCTAGAGAGGTAAGTACAGTGTTAAAAATACTGATGGCAATATGAAGGTACGTAGATCTAAAGATACACAAAAGAAACTGTAAACATGGTGGTGGAAAAGGTGCAATAGATTGGGTTTGTTTTTATAGTTTTATTGAAATTGGATCTATCCATTGACTTAATAAGATTATTAATCAGTTTGTTTATTGTTATTTTCTTGAGGAAAAGATGGCATGGATAATAATATTCCTCTTATATAGACACTTCAACTAGACGGTGACTAGAAACACATGTCTAAATTTGTTAAACAAATTTGCTACCAACCAAATTGAAGTAATGAAGTGAACAACTCAATCACCTAATTTCAATCTAATTCAAAATTTATCAAGTTGTACCTGTCAAAAAAGCTAATATAGAGCTATTGAAGCCATGTAAAATGTTACGTAAGAAAAAATTAATCAACTCATCAAGTCTATCAATGCCAAAAAAATGTGCCATTATCCTAATCCTAAGACAATATGCCATTAATTTTTGATTTCAGTATTTGTTTTGAGTAGTTATAAAAAATTTTATATTGAAATGCCAATACATTAAAACAACAATTTTGTTCAATTTCAGGTCATGTTGTGTAAAAAGCTTTTCTTTTTACCAATTTGATTCCGTTTACAAAGCATTTTAGAAATTAATGGTTTAATTAGCAATTGAAGTTGAGAAAATATAATTATGTTTTGATGATGATGATGATGATGATGATGATGATGATGATGATGATGATGATGATGATGATGATGATGATGACGATGATGATGATGATGATGATACTAATGATGATACTAATGATGATACTAATAATGATGATGATGATACTAATGATGATACTAATGATGATACTAATAATGATGATGATGATGATGATGATGATGATGATGATGATGATGATGATGATGATGATGATGAATTACTTTTTAGAATAATTCAAGTAACATTTTTTATTTATTTTCAGAAATTGATGCATGTTTTCAAAACCCTTGTCAACACAATGGTAAATGTCATTCTGTGAAAGGCATTGCATCATGCACATGTGCAGGAATGTGGAAAGCCCCATTTTGTAAAGGTTTGTAAAAGTATTTGTAGAATAAAGCCAATTAATAAATAATCAAACGTAATGTTTAAAAATTAAAAAAGTTATCGTAGCAAATATTTATAGCCCTTTTTTGCAACAAATATTTATATTCATGTTTTAAAAACTGTTTGTTTTTAATATCTGTTAAATGTGTATATCATATATACTTTTGAAATTATAAATTACGGTCCTATTATAAATAGTTACCCTAAATCTTCAACTAAAGACATTTGGGCATGTGACATCTTCTTTTTAAAAAATTTTAAAGTATTAAAGAAAAAATGTTAATTTTTCTAAAATTTGAGATTCAGTTTGCAATATATATATATATATATATATAAGTTCTTTTAAAATATGTAAAAAAAGAAGCGAAATTATATTAAAAATTCAAAAATATTAATTTTTATATAAAAATGATTTTTTCATACATCATTGCATAAAAACTGTTGTTTTTAAGCTGAAAATAAAAAAAAATCATAATTTCCAAGTTTTTAGTAAATAGTTTTCTAAACATATATTTTATGTAAATTAATTAATATTTTTGAATTTTTAATATAATTTTGCTTCTTTTGAGTACCAAGTTGACATATTTTAGAAGAACTTTTTTTAAAAATATTAGGGATACCCCTGAAAATATTTTTCATTCAAAAAAATTGTAAACCTAGTGCTTTTGTATTTTATAGAACACATTTAAGGTTGTGGAGCAGGTTTTTTTCAAAAATGTTGTTTTTTGGACCACCCTAATATATATATATATATATATATATATATATATATATATATATATATATATATATATATATATATATATATATATATATATATATATATATATATATATATATATATATATATATATATATATATATACATACATATATATATGTATTTATATGTATAAATACATATATATATATATATATATATATACATATATACATATAAATACACATGTATATTGTATTATATGTATATATACATATATATATATATAATGCATATATATATACATATACGTGTATATATATATATATATATATATGTATATATATATATATATATATATATATATATATATATATATATATATATATACACACATAAATATACATTTATATTAGAGTGGTCCAAAAAATTGTAAGGGTGGAAAGTTAAGTTGGGTTACATTTGCTTTTGTTCTATTCCCCATATGGAACATTTTTTAAATTTTAAAACATAACTAGGAGTGGCGCAATTTTGAACAATAAATGTTATTGCGATGAAAGAAACAAGAAACAATGTAAAAACAAAAATGAAATAAAATATCATGACTTAAAGAGGTTCTCGTTATTATGAACTTAATTCACATATTGTAATGTAATCCATTGTTTATTTCGAGATTTTTTTCAACAGATGCTTTGATGGCACTGGAAAAGCTTTCCAATGAGTGCTGACAACCAGCAAGAGGTATTGCTTTTGCTTTTTGTCTTTTGTTATCAAAGAGTTGAAGGTCTAAATTAAAGCAATCCCTCTTTCCACACAGTCATTAACTACTTTCATATGCCTAGCAGTTTCCCTGAACTGAATATAAATTCTATCCACTTCTTTTTTGGGGCAACCACCAAGAAAGATGAAGCACAATTGTAGAAGCTCGCTTACAGTCTTAGCGCTTATAGTCTTGGCGTTGGTGATGGCTTTTTATAGCTTCTTTGTAGTATGCAACCATTTCATCATGGAGATCAGTCATGGATTCACTGAAAAGTGTAGCTCCAAGATATGTGGATGCAAATACGCTGGAAAGTATAACTTTATAAACATGGTGGTGACATGCTATCCACACAAGGTCTTTCTTGAGAGTTTTTTCAATTATTGTGCAAGCTCCAGATTTCAAGCCAGTGTTTGAGGCTGTTGTATTGTACACGAGCCCACATATTTTGTCTTTGAGATGCCAATTATCCAATAGTTCAAGGCACTTACTAGCTTGCTCCACATCTGTTCCCCTTATGATTTTGGGAACCCCAAGCAACTTTTCTTCTCAAGCTCCAGAAAATAGGATTGCAATTCTGCCTACCTTTCCATTTTTCTGCACCATATTTGGTAGGAGTTTTCAATTTCAGTGCAACAGAAGTGGTACCTGTGTCAAATATGATTTTTGGTCCTCAACTGCCTTGGACTTGCGTGTATCCATTCTAAAACAACGGATAGTGCTGCAAGAAACTGGAATGCTATCTAGATCATGTCCAAGGGCTTAAGCAGCTGCAACAATAACATAAGTAGCTTGACGATCA